TGGCTTAGTCAATAAAGAGTTCAGGCAGGGAAGAGCACTAAACACCTGTGCTGTAGCACTGAACATGCTTTAAGTAGTTTATAGTTTGGATTACATTTAGCTTTTGTTCCTGTTGAAGGTGAATGAATCTGTTCTGATTTGCTTTGGACTGTAGTGGTTTTGAATATGTACATTTTATTTTGAAGGAGAACTGAAATGAGTAGATCTTTAGTCTGGTGCTGATGGACGGAAAGAAGTGTGCAGCCGCAAACTTGATAACTGATTAATCATTTGGTTTTTTTTTATGCAAAAATGCCAGTTATTGTCTAGTCCCAGCTTTTTAGTTGTGACGGTTTGCTTCTCTTCTTTCTTAATGCAGTGGTAAAGCAGGCACTTGGCTGGCCAGACTAAAGACATTAGAAGACTCCTCGCTGTGCACTTCTTTGTGAGAAAGTTACCTTTTATTTCCATTTTTTGAGTTGATTTGTTGGGAAAATAATCAGAATAACTGATAAAGAAACTACCGGTAGCTGCAGGACCAGCAGCTTTTTTTTTTCCTTTCATAAATTAAGCTGTAAAAGAGTCATGAACATACTGACACCATTCTCCTGAAATGTGATAAAAGCTGATTGCCAGTACAGTTCGTGTTTTTATGGTCTTTTGTATTGAAAGTGTTTTTTGCTTGCTTTTACTTTGTGTAATTTGTGCTTTCAGGGTTTCATGCAGCTGTTTATAGGTGAGCTGAGAATTAGCAGCATTTTTAAGCTTTGGGGGAAAATGACAAAGGTGTGATTGAATAGTAAAGGCCATATGTTTAATGAGGGAGGCTGCAGTTTAGACCATGAGGTGAGGAGGTAAAGTATGTGTACATGACATCTTGGCTGATCACATTTTGAAACTGTAAATAAAAGCTCACATCGAACGTTCACCACCACGTAGTATATGAAGTGCCGGGAGGCTCTGACACCTCGAGGCAGAGGTGAGGAGGGCTCTTCTGGTGCGTTGTCTTTCTGGTAAGTGGTCCAGCCTGATAACGGTGCACTATCCCAGTGCCAGATGTCAAAACAAGACTGCGGGATCACTGGCTGTGGTGTTGTCGCGTTCTTCACTGAAGAAACAAAGATGCAGTGTACTGTTGGCTGTTTGTCATCTGGCCAGCTGCCCGTTTAAAGCCCCATGAAAACCAGTCAGGGCAATCTTGCACCCAGTGTCTGAAACAATCTGAAAATCAAAGTGATGCAGGAATTTTTCTGAGTTGACTCCTATGTGATATGTCATAGAAAACGGATGCACGAGTTGCCTTTTTCTGATCTGAGCTGTAGAATGTGGTTTGCAGTCTACATGTATCATGGCATCTTGGCTGTGCAAGGTGCAAGTCGATGTCAGACTCATTTTCACTAGAACTGGTAAAACTCTAGCTGCTAAACCAAACGGCATTGTGTTTTTCCACCATTGGTGCAGTTCATATTGAACCATTTTCTAGAAAATCCGATACTAGCGGTGTTTTTCAAATTGACCTTGAAACCCAGAGTTTTCAAAATACCCTTTAATGCCTCTGAATTGTCACTTAAGACCACTTTTCCTCCCCTGATCTGGTGTAGTGCCGTCAGCCTGTAACAGGGAACGTTGTCCTGCGTTTCTGGGAAAGGCTTTCCGGCCCAGTTATCATCACATCAGTGGGATGCAATCGCTCACGGCTGATTTTTATGCTTCTCCGTTATTTGGAAATTTAGATTCTCCAGCTTTGACTTGTCTTGCCTGAAAATTGACTGCCACACTTTGAGACTTTTTTTTTTCTTATCCAAATTTGAGCTAAATTCTAGTTAATGCAGCTTTAAGTTCTCACGCAGTGTGTCCTACCTCTGTGGCATGAATATCAAACATTAATGGCGATCCAGCAGTCAGCTGACCAGGTTCAGGCCTCATGCGGTCTGATTGAGTTTCCATTTTGTTGGCCCATGCTGTGTGTGCACTTCACTGGAGACAGGATGAGAGACATGCGTCTTGCTTCCATTTGATCACTAATGAAATTGCTGGTGGAGGCTCTCTCTCTCTCTCTCTCTCTCTCTCTCTCTCTCTCTCTCTCTCTCTCTCTCTCTTTTTTTCCCCCCCTGACCCCACCCCTCAGCTACATCAGCTGGATGCCCATTTGATGTGAACCTGGCTGTAACTGTATCTGCTCTGAACTTGGATATACATCAGGCCTTCATTCTCAGTCAGCTAGTAAATGGATGCATGTAGTTGGCTAAACATACAAGTGATCTGTAACAGCCAGCCAGCAAGCACATCGACAAGCTTAAGCTTGTTACTTCAGGCGCTTCAGCAGTTGATTTTAAATTAGCATAGACAGTCAAGGCAATTCTAACACATATTACTGTAAAAGTAACACCCAGCCCATGATCAAGGGATGAAGTGTGTGTGTATATGTATCAAGTTGGGTTTGTTTGGTCTGCTGCACACACTCCCTTGGTGCACAGTAGTCTCCCAAGGCTGATTATTTTAAAAGTGGGAGGTGTAGACGGTCTGATTCACATTTAAACAGTGGGTTGATTTGCATAAACTTGCTGAAGATTGTTTGTCCTGGAGCAAACTCAATCTTTGGTTTTGGCTCTGGCCACGTGTACGCCAAAATGCACTTAGTGTTACTGTCATAACTTTGTGTGCTACTGTCAAGCATTGTTCTGGAACTCTTTTCATTCTCAAATGCAAATACTTGCTTCTACAAGAAGCAAGTCAAGATCGGACTTAATCCGCTTCTGCAAAAGCCGTCAGTTCAATGCATTTGCACCCTTGAAGTTGGAAACAACAAAAGACTCCATTCTGTCTTTCTTTACATTTTGCTGTGTTGCATGTCAAATCACATCCTTGGATCAACAGCTAGCTTTGATTAGACTGCATACGTGTGATGTGCTTGAAACAACCTATTGTGTTACCTGTTCTGAACGGCCACACTTCCCTGATCCACCTGTTTCAACGCAGTGAATTCGACAAATGGATAGAACTTGGAGATGCTCTCCCCTTAGGGCATTATCGATGTATTGCACACACAAAAATGTGGGTTAAAAAAGGACTTTAGTGAAAACCTTGCATATTTTCTCACCTCCACACACTTGGGCAGCCACTGTGTGAAGTGGGTGTCAATGTTGAATTAGTTCCAGAAAGCCATAAATCATCTGATGTGGTCCTGATGCTGGAAATGTGTGGATATTGACCCCTTAACTCCCAAGTGGACTGGTAGGCCTAAATACTTCTGATTGTGACGTTGTTGTTGTTGTTGTTGTTGTTGTTTGGTTTTTCCATGTTAACACTGCAGTTTGTGCTGAGGTGAAATTGAGATCTGATCTACAGTCATGGCTAAAAATCGCACTGCTTCTCCCAGTAAAGTGTTGCAGTCACAAATTCTTTAGTATTTTCATGTTTAATTTTTGGAACAAAATGCAGACCAAAAAGCCAAGGCTGACACATTCCACACAGAACTCTAAAAATGGGGG